GATGAAACAAGTTTGAGGATTGGTCTTTTGAAGAATATCAAGCCTTTCCTTTCCGACAAGTGGCTTGGACATTCTTATTCAGTCAAATGGTTTTGTTTTCTAAACGTGTCTTCATGTTAATAAACATGCCATCCTGCATGGAATCTACACTGTGCAAGCATCCTACCTTCTCCAAAACCCACCTCATGTATCTTACAATGCTATTATCATGCCTAGAATTATCATTTTTGATCAGACTCAGACTCTGACCGGATCAATATAATCATGCATATATATAATATATAAGCATATATGTTGATATATTATACATTATACATTATATTTATAAGAACGATCCTTACTCTTTACAAAAAGTAAGGATCACAATTTCGGAAGTTCTTGTCTAAGAGTCTAAGGCATCAATGTTCTGTAAAGGCTAAATTTCTGCAATCAGCAAATGATAGTGGTGAATCATCCTTTTTTTCTCTGCTCTGGCTCCTTGTATTGTATTTCCTTGGTATGTTTGCTTCTAAACAAATCTAAACACAAAAACACCGCAAACACATAACACACATTAAATAACACAGAACTAGTCAGAGGACTCTTTGGGCCCACTACCCCCCCCAAGAGTATACAAGACTCTTTTGTGTGTCCTTGTTTGGGGTTTTGAGGGGGGAATGCGTTTGGTGTATGTTTGCTCTTTCTAAGGCTCTTTTCAATTTTGTGATTTGGTTTTGTTTTCAGTCAACCCTTTTCATATGCAGCTGACATCAGGGCAAATTGACATTGAGGCAGCTTTCACATGAAGGTGGCAGCTTCGAACGTATCCATCACCCTCAGAATCCAGACGGGCCCGCATACGGCATACTCTACTTCCTGGTTTAGTAAATGATGAGATTTTTGGAACATCCCCGCAGCTTCATACATCCACAATTGTTTGGAGCAGTTAGCTCTGCTGGGGCCATACTGTAGGTAGGTGGAAAGAGATGAAATAACCTTTGAACGTTCCAGTTCCAAGCTGAGAGTCCAAGACACACCTCAACGCGCTTTTAGACACCCATCGCGCAGGTCCAGAGCAGTTGGGGCTGCTCCGCTGGGCAGTTTTCAGCGCTGATGGGAGAGCCGATGTCTTTACAAGCCTTCTCAGCACGTTTGGAGGAGGTGGGGGGGATGTCTTTCTTTCTTGCTCTGAAGCCAAGCCACAAGCGTGTCGCCGGTGCCTGACCTTGCAGCTCTGAACAGCACCACGGGTCGCCACAGGTCGGTAGGTCGGTAGTCACCTGGGTGCTGATTCATGCGACGTCCACCGACGTCAAGCGACTAACAGTGAACCAGTCTGGGAGCTACTCTCCTTGGGCTGGTGCAAGGTAGGGGGGATTGAACAAATACAAGAAGATGCCAAGAAGCGAAAGAAGATCCAAGGAACACCAAAACAGAAAACAGTTGCATGTTCATCGTGCTCTTGGGTTCACCCTGCGCGAAGGGGTTCTCTTTTCATCTCTTTTCACATCCCCTAACGACCCGCGAGTGACACGAATCGGAACACGATTGGCTTCAGTGCAGGGGTCCGGAGAGTGGGTCCAGTGTTTCTTCGTTCTGGTGACTACCAGATGCAAAAGTGGATCACATACAAAAGCTTTTGTAGGGGATTGGTTTCTCCACTCAAAACTGAGGGAGTCAGGGTTTGGTGACAGTTGTAAGGACACGATCACCCCAAATCAGCCAACCGAAACAGGTGATCTTCCCGATAGCCACAAGAAAATGAAGTCCAGCCTAAACGGCCCAAAGCCATCGCGCTAAAACCGCATGGCGCGTTGGCCGCGCGAACCCAACAGAGGTTGAAGGACCCTATAGACTATCCTATAGGTACCCCTGTAGGGTCCTATAAGGTAACTTAACATCTGTTGGACCGCGCGAACCGCGAGGCCAACTCGACGTCCACCTGGATCATCCGTGTGTTGGGTTTGTGTTTTGCGGCGCTGACCGTCTACTGCTGCTTCGCGCCCATCTCAGCGGCAGCCGATGTGGTGGGAGACTATATTCGATGTATTCCATGTGTGGGAGAAACCTTGGAGGACTTGTTGGAAGGTATGGTAGATGCCCTGCTTTGCGCTGTCTCCTGTGCGTTTCTTGCAATCCTTCATTTACAGCTAATGTATGCTAATGTGAATAAGGGATTCTGAAGTTATGGCTGTTCTTTTCTTGGACATCCCTGTTTGAACTTGTAGCTGCAGGGCACTTTCTTTTTATCAACCAGTATATAAGATAAGCTGGCGAAGAAACTCCCAGGTTTGGGTGCTCCTGTGGTTTACTTGTGATTGCCATCACATGGCTGGTGATGCGACCGCTGATTGGTGGCGGGGTGCTCTTGGTGTGCCTGGTGCTGTTCTGCTGCGGATATGCGATTGCACATCAGAACAAGGCCAACCGCGACGCAGGGAGAAGCTTCAGCGGAGATGTTGAGATGAACAAAAACTACAGACCTGGCATGCAAGCCATGAGCGACTCTGATGGTGAGGAATGATAACGTGTGCAAACGATTGGAATACTTGCCTGGGAATGGTGAACCACGTTGAATTATGAATTGCTTCATTAACTTACTGTCCAGAAAGAAAGATGGGCCGTGGGTCAAGCACGGTCACGTCCCAGCATACTCCCATAAAATCTAACAGAAGCGGTTCACCACCGAAGATAGATCCACCAAATGGAAGACGAGAGTGGAACATCAGCTTGCTGCTTTGATCCACGGCCTGGCTGCGTGCTTCTGAAAACAAAACGACAGGAGGATCGTCGCCGAAAAAGTGGGGTCAGCGGGGGGGGGGGTCGTGGGGTCAAGGGTTGGCGTTGGTTGGCGTTAAAGTTGCTGACTCATCACCTCATCTGCCAACGTCCGGCCAATTTGTCGTGCCTCGATCCAAGACTACCTTTTGGGGTTCCAAAACAGGGACAGTTGCACTCCCAGAAATCATGTTTGGGCAGTTAGCTGAAAGGTAGGTGCCCTTCAATGAACAAGTCCATGTAGAAAATGGGCAAACGACCCGTGTTTGAAAAAGGTAGGACACGTTGTTCTCGAAATCCTCATGTGCTTCCAACCTAAAGGCTGCGAAAATACCATATATAGAACTGGTACCTTTGTGGTACAAATACAGTACGGGAAGCAGCTTCCGGGAGTTGTGGCCTCCAAATCTGTCTTAAATGCCGTTCAATCGCCTGGTTGGACTGATGCAATACTAGCGCAGACGATGCCACGCACCGGTCGACCAATGATTGACAGGTTTGAGAGTGGGAACAAGACCATTACCCGGACACTCCACAGGACTGGCATAAATACAGTTTTATGGAAATAGGAATATATGTTCAGAGATTTTAGACAACAATGGCAAACGATACCCGCACGTGAAAAACAAAACAACCCGTTTCAGTGGATCTGCATCTCGATGAATTGTTTGCTGTAGCTTCCCGGCCATGAAGTACATGGTATGGACAGACTAGGATGACTAGGCTTGTGCTCTTTGAATATGGCCAAGTATTGTTCTGCATGTGCGTTTGATGTTCCACAAAATGATTTGCTGGATCGAAGCAAACAAAAAGGTGTATGCAAACGATACTGTAGCTGAACAAATACAAGACCCTGGCCCAGATGCCGCACTGCCCAAGACTTCCAAGTGGAAGAAGCGACAACGACACGAATAATTGATCTTCCTTGGGAAGACGATAGCGGAACATTAGTACAAAACAATACCTGTCCCAGCTATTCCACTTTTCGCACAAGAGTCTTGATCACAGATCGTCTGGGATGGTTGGGCGGAGTCAACGTAAGCCTAGCATGTCCTCTGTGTATACATGACGTCGCATGAAGTCTTCGTTGTTTCAATAACCATGTTTTCTTATGTTTTCTTATTTACAGCCTTCGGCATGCCGCCGGCCACCAGCTCGAGCCCGCATTGGCAGGCAGCCTAATGATGCTTATTAACAGTGTTCCACAGTTCTATTTTCGTTCCAAGGCAGGGACAAGATCACCTCTTCTAGGCTGAAGCAGCTATATAATCCGGCACGTCTCTTTGATTCAACTCGCTTTTTCCTGTTCTCGCCATGGCCTAGTCTGAAGCAACCGGGGCAGGGCAGGCTGTCGAAACATCCGCGCGGAGAAACAAACCGTAGATTGAAACCAACCGTCGATTGAAACCAATGGAAACCAACACAAGCCAGACGAAGCAAGACAATCCACAAAACCGATACTTGAAAATGAGTCTTCTTCCAAGCTACTTGGCCTTTTGCATGTTTTCCTTGTCAGATCTTTTTTTCGACCGTCTTGAGGAATTGCGAGTCGCACAAGATATTCTTTTTCAGATACAGAAGGCTTCAAAGCGACCGACGAATTTCTTGATCTGGCATGATTTGTCGCTTTTTCTCCAAACCGTTCGAAATGAAAGACCCAGAATGACATCGAACAACAATACCCTGCTCAATCATACTTGTTGGTGCATTGGAGTTGCACATTTGGCTGGGTGAGTTTGTTGATGTTTATTTCAAGGTTGTTTGACCATGAAATGGAACGAATCCGAATCAGAGGTTGTCTATTCTGATCCAGCGATCCGAGCCGGCATGTCTCAGTCGAATCACCTAAGAGGAACCAATTGAAACCAACACAAGCAATGCGAACCAAGACTATCCACAAAACATGACCTTGAAAACGATTCTTCTTCCAAACTACTTGTGTCTATTCTGATCCAGCGATCGACATGTCTCAGTCCTATCACCTTAGACGTAGAGAGGGGGGGGGGAGGGGGGGGTGGGGGTGGGGGGCATCAGGCTGTCGAAAAATCCGCGCGGAGAGACAAACCGTAGGTTGAAACCAACACTACTAACCAAAACAATCCACAAAACACGCCGGCAGGCCGGCGGATTATACACAATTCCTTGGTAATACATGGGGTGTTTGGGGTATATACAATTCATTGTATGGTGTTTTCTATGTCTTTCTCCGAACTCACCGGAACTGATCAGTGTAGACGCCCGAGGATTCTGCGGTTTGCACAGCGCGTTGGCGCAGCTTCAGGAGGATCCCACCACGTCGCTGGGAGCTGGAGCAACATCCGACCGGGGCAGTGGTTTTTAAGCTCGGATCATCATTTTTGTATACAACAGTCGTGCAAAGCAGAGAAGTCAGATGAAATATCCAAGGTGTTTTCAGCTAAATTCCTCTGAGAGAAGTTGACAATGTACCTCTTTGTGCTTTCCCTGGCAATATCCATATCCTTTCTCCCGCGCGGGCGTCTGAGGTACAGCGGTGCCATCAAGAAGAGATACATGTGTATACAACACCACTGTTTCGTAGCCCAGAAGGCTGCCCTGTTTCGTTCGATCCTCCCGCACCGTTTCGTTCCTTTTTCTTTCACATCCACTGGCCGCCATCGTCCCGGACCAACTCCGCTGCGCAGATCGAGATTCCTGGGACCCGGGTCCAATTCGCAGGGGTGAAACCAATTCGTTTGGTTTCCGCCAAACCTTCCAGGGTCATTCTGAAAGGGTTCACATGTTCAACAGGTCGCTCAAGCCCAAGGCAGCTTTTCTACGACTGCAGCTAGGTATAGAATGCCTAGCTGTTCTCACATCCGCCAATTCTATCCCTCTCTGGGACACTTTCAGCGGGTGGTTCTGAGCAGAACCTACCCTTCGCCAAGGTCAGGGTGGCAAAAGGGCCTTTGTGGGGCCATCGAGGCGCTTTGCGCGAAACAGCCTGTGAGGACAAGGAGGAGCCACCATCCATCCAACAAGCCATCTAACAATATGCATCTATTCTGTATAGATGAACATGAAACATGGTCTATGCATCTAATATGGGTCTATCTATAGAAATCGAATTAAACATTTCAATCCATCGAACAATCCATCTATTATATAGTCCACCATCCAACCATCCAAGATCATCCAGCCATCCAAAATCTTTCAACCCGACGCATCGCAGGAGTCCTTCCTCTCATTGGCATTCGTCGTGTGTCTACAACTTGGCGCCACCTAAAGTGCCCAACCAATAGCAGTAGCAATGCGGAAGGTATAACTATATGTTTGGGGGTTCCTGCTTTTGAGACGCCCGTCCACAAGTACTCTCCCTGAAATCGGAAGTGGAATGGCGGGGCGTTGGTATGACAAACAGGTGGTGCCATCCACGTCACCATGGATTCTTGCGGGGAGTGAAAAAAAAGGGGATCTCCAGCCAGTCCCGGACAGGACGGTGGATGTATAACCCCTTGTAACGAGTATACATTGTATAACCTTGAACATAATGATACCTTTAAGGGGTTCAGATACATGGTATACATTGTAAAAGCTAAAGTGTAGACTTGAACGATCTTGAACTCTTTAGCTCCCACCAAGGGCGAAGCACGGGATGGGACGGTCCAGGCGTTGCTTTCTGCGGACCTGGCGAAGCTGCCGCCGCTGGGCCGCTGCTGGGGTGGGGTGCTTGGGGTGGGTGAGTTTCTGTGGCTGAATCGCTGAAAAGGCCAAGAACAACGTGGACCTGGTAGAGGAAAAGAGTCTTTCAGGGTGCCATTCGACCCGGGTCTATGTTGATCGTGTTAGAGGAGATGGCGTGACGGCGTGACGAACATTGAGCCTCGCAGTCAGGGATCGCCCAGATTCTCAGCATACATACTCCCTTAGGGATCCACGTACCTCACGTACCTTCTCAGGTACGGTGAGGACGGATGCACTGATATGTAGGTGCCAGGGTCGGGTGCAGTCGTACCTACGACCGGATCTGTAGGGACGGCACTGCACTCAGCTGCAGGTTTTCCACTCAGCTGCTCTGCTGCAACGATGCCGAGCCGCGAACGAACGCGCCGGCACGGGATGCACGCGCGAGCCGGGTTGACCGTGTATGGCTTTGGGTCCAAACCGGGGGACCGACCGGTTGACCGAACATGAACAGAATATGGACGACCGGACATGGTCAACCTACCAGCGGTTTTCACGGGCTCGAAATGGGTGCTATGACCCACCGTCATTGTAGTTTGTTGGACTATCTTTGTTTTGTTTTTTCCCAAATAATGGACCCCACCAACAAACGTTGCCACTGCCGTATTAGCAGATACCATGATATTACCCCAAGTTCGCGCCGTGGGACTGCAAATATGGCCTACATGAACAGCACCCAAACCATCAAATGTACGCCATATTGGCATACATGGAGCGTTTGGGTACCCTTCGTCTCAACCACATCCTCAGAAGCATCTGTTAGACCCCTGGCACCCACGGGGGTTTGGATGACCAGTAATGAGACGGACTCCCGGTAAAGTGTGAAGCGTGGGAGTTTGACGGAACATATCTTCCAACTTGAAAAGTGCCCAAATGCAAGGAGACATCAGCATCGGTGGGTGTATTTTCCAGTTTTTGGACAAACAGGTACATCACGGAGGGGTGGGGCTCCGACATTGTGTGGTCATGTGACATGTGTAGCGCATTGTTTCTAGTATTATCAGGTCAAGACAATCAGGGGACCTCATTCCTAGTCATGTGTAGCTGATTGTGTATTGTTCAAATGTTCAGTATGTGTCATGGTCTTGTAGTCATTTTGTAGTCATAGTATCAGGTCAAAGATTGTCACCTAGTATCTGACATGGTCGTTCAAGCGGGCCACGGTCGTTCTTTTTTTTCGTGCTTTCGCGACCTGCCCAACGGGTGTTGTTACACCCCACGATAAGCGACCGCAAGGACGTAGATGTTATTGACATGTTTTAGACATGTTTTTACATTGATATGCAATGATATGCGGGTCACTATGAACCTGGTGTAATAACACCTACGAATATCCTGATATGTTATTGATTTGGTGTTAATGAATATCCCTCTCCCAGTCGAATTGTTCAACGGGAGTTTTCTTCCCGTTGGCATGTTGGTGTTTTCCTTCCGCAACGCAAAGAGCTCGAGAACGACCGAGCTGTGACGATTGTCGCTTAGTAAATCAGCTACCGGGACCAGCATCTTCAGGCATGCATATTCTTTGGCCGCTATGAACTTGAAATCGGGCCCAGAATCCGCATAGGAACCAAACACCCGGGCCCAGAATCCGCCGCGGGCCGTGATCAGATCAGTCCGGTGCCGGGCCTGCAAGTTCAAATGTCTTGGTGACCGGTTTCAAAGGGTTCACCAACCGTATTCTGGGAGTCCAGTCAACTATCTAACAAATTTAGGGTCTGACGAGGTGGCCCCAAAAGGAACTTTCCTGCACTTCAGTGACTTCAGTGGGGAAAAACATCTAGTCGAACTAGATTTCTAGGCTGTAGACTGGATGCAAGCCTGAAGAGGTTTCACAATCTACCGTATGTTCGGGCCATTCATCAACAGTAATGATGACAGGCTCCGGCCAGTCTTTTCTCCGATCGTCACCGTGGCTCGTTTGACATGCTTTGCTCTGACAATACCGGTTTCGACATCACCTACCTCCCAGACGATCCATGGTGGCGCAATTTAATGGCCTACATTGATGAATAATCCACCCATTTGAATTGGAAATCCTCTTCATATATGGGTATATGGGTGGTTTATTAATCAAGAGTCTACATTAATGGCCTACACTTGCTGGTGCTTTTTGGTGGTGCATGTTGTTTTTGTTTTATAAGTTGGAAGATCTAGGTGTCGTTAAGTGACATCAAAACAGAGTCGTCTAGAGTTGTCTAGAGAGAAAGCAGATCAAATGGCCACATATTGTTATCATGATGTCTATTATTTTTTTATTATTATGATGTTGTTTTATGTGGCAAGATTGCCAAGTGTCGCCCTTTCTCTGCCAAGTGTGAAGTCGCTATGACTTGTCCCAACACATCCACCTCTCAGCTTGGCTGACTGCCGAAGCGAATGGATGACCAGGGAGGTCTTCTTACCCTGTTGAATCGAGGTTTTGGAGACTGGGACTTTGCAGCCTTTTATAGCCAAGTCTTCTCCTTTTGCATCGGTGTTCCTTGGGGCATCTTGGGGGCCAATCCGTTTGATCGTCGCACCTACATATATATATATACACGTTCGACCAAGAGGGTGTGTTATACCCACAACAAGCCCTTTAGGGACCACAACAACAGTTGGTTTTCCCCGACAAGACAACACCCAACCTCCTGACAACAGTACCTCACCAACTCCAAGACAAGGGAATGCGGGGAATCACACTGCAGATTGCTCTTGTGACCATCCCGGACACAGTGACCCTTAAATTAGCCTTTCCAACATTGAAAGCTCCAGCTGTCCCGCAGCGGCACAGGGGAAGAGGCGGGCGTGACCGGCTTTCAAACGCCTGGGCTATTCGTGAGTGAGTCGCAGGCCCTTCTCTATAGGAGCAATTGAGGCTTTGTAGAAAACCGTTGAAGGTAGCATATCTTGGGTGCACGCACTTCGTAGAAGGCACAGAACGCTGATTTGGGGCTACATGCCTGGATTGTGACGTGCCCCAACTCTTCTGGAACCTCCTGCAGCCTCAGAGAAGCCACGTAAGCTATGCCAGGCAAATTCAAATGCGCCAAAAGTGCAGCTTTTGAGGGCGTAGGCGCCGTATTGGATTGTGACATGCCTCAACTAAAACACGACCTCTTGTACTTAGTGGCAGTTAACGTTCCACGCTGCCAGGGCCTTGCGCCTGTTTACTTAGCAGCTGCCGTGTGAAACATTTACATCGCTGGCAACACTTACATCCCCAAAGTGGTTGATGCATATGTCGAGCATTTAAGGCCTGGGAGGGCGTAAAATGGGTGATATTGAATGTTTAAGAAGGGAGAGTAGCAGAATTATCCTCCGGAACCACCAGAAGTGCGCAAATCCAAGCAATCGCGTTAAAAATGGAGCTTTTATGGTGTACAGGCACCGTTTTGCGGGGTTTGCCTGGGATTGTGAGGTCAGACGACGCGACGCAACTTGTTCTCGGTTTCATGTGATTTAAATTTTCATAACCCCTGTCAAGCTTTTGTCCTGCGGAAGTGCAAAGGGATCGCCGCCCTGATGTTCTGGTGGAGCATTGTTGTCGTTGCAGGCCGGATTCAAAGACAAGAGCTTCTGCAGGACCAATTGCGTTCTGGCATGTTCTGGCCATGCAAACGCAGCCATTTTTGGGGGAGTCATTGTGACACCTCAAAGACTCAAGTACTCAAGTACCAACGTGTTTGGCTAAACCTCTGCTTCCTAGTCTAGACCACGGGCTTGTTCAAAATCTTTCCAGGCACGTTTGCGGAAGGAAGTTGCAGAGGCGTTTTTGACCAAGAGATACCGAGAGCGTGTCTGAAGGAAGATCTGCTCGGAGCACGCTAAAAGGCAGACCTTGTACCAGTGACTTGCGGCTAGCTCTCCGGAGTGATGTGCAACGCGTCTCGCGGTCTGCCAGCGATCGTAGATTGTAACAGCCCACTCGGAAGCACTTGGATGTTGAAAAATTGAGGACTCTGCTAATCTGGACAAAATGGAAAGCACGGAAAGCTTAGTTTCGCCCATCGTTTCAGAAAACGATCTGTGGGACACTGTCGTGCGACCATGCTCCGTGCCAGGCAGACATCAGTCGGCAGCGCCTGCAGCAGCCCCCACACTCGGGGCAGCGTTTGCTTTGTGCATAACTATCGGTTCTAACCCCTGGCCTTTTGTTTGGGCACTGGCTTTTTGCTGTCGAGGAGGTGAAGTTATAGTCGAGGCTAAAACACGGCCTCCTTCGACCAAGTCAGAGTACCCAATCGACCCTGTATAGCAACTCAGATATGATGTTTAAACAAAACAAGTCAGAGTGTGCACTTACCAACATGTCTTGGGCCACTTTACAGTTCCGTGACCACCCGTTCGGCTTAGGCTACCGGAGCCAGAGCCCTCCAGTGACCCAGCGTTTGCCAGGCTGAGATCGCGGGACGGACGAGAAGCCGGGTGAAACAAAAACGAAAGGGAAAAAATCCTCAACATGTCAAATTAGAATGTAAAAACGTTGGTTTAGAGAAAACCTCATGACTCATAAACCGTCATTTATGTGGTGAAACATGGTAAACAACTAATTGTGAATGTGGAAGGGTTGAAAATTTAGAGTCTACATGATGGACTCGCATAATCTGTGACTCAAAGTCTCTCCCTGTCTGAAAGTGGGGTGTTTGTGACTCCGACAATAGGTGCTTGTGGGTCTGACCGGCAGCCTTACATTGTTACACCTACTGCAATGCCAAATGTGCAACTAAATGATGCTTCATGAAGACCCTCTTGAAATTTATTGGTCCGTTCTTTGTAGTGACCTCAAAACTGACTGATATGAGAGACGCTCCAGCAACAGAACGTATGAAAAATCGTTTCAGCTTCTACTGAGGGACCTCCAATGAACCACAATGAACTCTGCCACGGCCATTTTTTTGCTAATGTTTTGGACTCTGAGACACTGTGACTTGTTTACTGGAAGTGGAAAACATTCTTATTGTAAACCAGGGGCGAAGTCCCCAAATCCCTTTTTCCACTTCCATGTTCACAAGCAGCAGTCCAGAAAAAATGTTTCCAGCTGGTCACCATACAGATGAAGCTCTACACCAAGAGACCGATGATGTCAGGAGCACGCCCAAACAGGTGCAAATCCCAGAGGAGCAGAACCCTAGCCTTCCAAAACCTTCAGCACTTCAACACCAGAATGCGCGCTATGAATGTTGGTCGAAGTGAACGACTGGAACCGGGGGATATTTAGTCGATATGAACGTCATTTGGCCTCGCCCCCCCCCACTTCAACATTGGAATATATTAATATGTATATAGGGCTGTTGGTCAAAACCAGGATACCTTGGTTGACCAGTTTGAAAATGAACAGAATAGACCACCAGGGAGGTCAACCTACCAGGAATTCAGGGTCAGGGTCTGGGGTTTGACCCACACCCATGTGGTTGACCTGGTTTTGCAATGTAAGATCCGTATTAAAACAATGGTTGTTCGGGATTCAGCCTGTTGAATCCATGTTTTTTTTGAAGCCTAGGGAGAATGGAGTGCCTGCTTTGGTGTTCACTGCTGATGAAGGGCTCTCAATGAACAAATGAACATCATGCTTTTCCAGGGACACTGGAGGAATCTCTTTTAGCCTCTTGTTCTTGACAACTTTAGATACCCCCTCTCCTGTACATGGCCCCGGAATTCCACCGCGACAGGCAGGAGGTGTCTCGGCGTCAATGCATCCAGATCCTGGCTGCTGGATTCTTTGGTATACTCGACCGACGGTTCCTTGGCCAACTCTCTGGAAGACAAACATAAGCAGCCAGGAGCTGGTTAGGTTGAAGGTAGTCTCTTCTGTTCTATGTCAGTTTTGGGGAGGGCAAGTGAGCATGTTTTGTACCGTTTGATTCCTGAATCTTTGGGTCCTCCATAGCAGGGGGTTTTCGGCCTCTCCATACAAGGGGGTACCCTCAAAACCTTCAGGGAGATAGCTAGTGTACGATTTGCCTGTTCACGTTTACACAATTTCACGTCCAGACTTCCCAGTTGACATGCGGCCATCAATTCGTCCGTGACCTGTGAAGATTGTCGGGTGCTGGTCTTTCAGCATCTATACAGTGACCCGCTCGATTTTCGCACGTCCTCGTCGAACACGCCGTCCTGTTTCCTCCGCGGCCTATCGTTCTGATGAATAATTTTAGACTGAGAAACGCGCCCAGCACTGAGACCTACAAGCAGGGCAGATCGGTGGACCTACAGTATCCAGCTACCTTATGAGTGGCGCCAAATGAAGTATTCAATGCACTTGGTGCCTTGTTGACGTGTTCATGTTTGGTGCCGAGGTCAAGCTTTTGGGACAAACGAGTCCGGTTTCTGCCGTCTCGGCTCGCGCGTACGCGGGCTGAATTGACCAACGAGTCTTCCAGTGACATCACGTGACAGCACGACTTCCGTCTTCTGCTAGGTGGTCGGAAGAGGGTGCGACTCATGATATGCCTGGATTCCATTTCTCAAAGCTTTGGCAATATGATTGTGAGACACCTAGCTGCAGCCCAGGTGTCGGATGACCATCATTCGACACAGTGTCATGTTGGGAGGCTGTGTCCTGTGTTGGGAGGCTTTTTGCTGTCCATTGGTTTCAAATCGTTTCCTACTCGTATCATCATCCCCATTTTTTATATGGCCTCACCAACCAAGTCTGGGTATACCAGTTCGTGTTCAGGAATTCAGTGACTCGGGTCTCCCGCATTCCTCAGACCATGTCTGAAATCGTTGACTTCCATTACAGTATATAGAAGTGGATGAACCATTATGAACCTTACCAGCTCCATCCAACTCCATTCAGCGCGGGGTCTTTCAGAATGCTCCGTTTGCGCCGCTGGGAGAAGGCTTCGGCTTCAACGCGGGGCGATCGGTGGAACAGAACACCTCAGGTGATCGGTGGATTCGGCGTAGACACTCGCGACTGTGACTCCCCAGTGTATACTTCCATGTATACCTGAACCCTCCAAGGGGTGTCCAATGGACTACCCCACACTACCTATAGGCTTCCATTGGGCACCCCTTGGAGGGTCCTGGTATACTCCGCCCTAGTGTATATACTTCTGCATCCCCAGTGTATACACGACCTAGGGATCTCCATTGGACATCCCTTTGAAGGTCCAGGCAATATACTCCAAAAATAAAACAATACGACTCACTTGGCCCAAAGTGCTAGATCCGATTGGTGTACCGACGCAATTCTTTCATGCAAGAGAAATGGCCGCCAGGGCCCATGTGGTGGATGAATCGAGCGAGGTGTGATTCCGGGCCAACCCATATACCCAAACACTATGATACTCCATGTGTGGAATATTATATATAAATATATAATACCGGTAGTTGGGGCCTGGTTTTGAGGATGTTTTCGGGGTCTGGCATTGGGGCGGAAGACTGATAATGTGCCGCTGCCCATTGGTTGCGTCTGGGAAGGAATCTCCTCGATGTTTCCCAAGACATCATTGCTCGCTTTAGACGTGGGACTGTGCGGACGATCCAAAGGCGATGCAAGGGCCCCAGCCCTGGCCCCTCCACAAGCATCGGGGAAAGGGGCCTGAGGGCTAATGGCCCCGGTCCAGTTTTTGTTGCTTGAACTCAAGAGAAGCAAACATACCTGGAAGCTTCCAACACTGGCAACTTCTCTGCTTTTTTTGCTGGGGCTTGTTTTGGATGAACATGCAAACGTCTTGCCTGTTTGGAAGATTTAGGGTACGGGAAGAGGATTTGCTGATCTTAGCTGCTTTTGTTTCACCAAAAGCAGGGTAGTGTTGGTGATTTGTCCAAGTTGCAGGAGCGATTTGTTACTGTTTCAAGGATGCTGCGGATGCTGGAAACAATGTTTTCCCACAGCAAAAAAACACTCACAACCAATTGTAATTTGTTTGATGATTACTTCCCAAATTCTACATAAGCCACCAATTGATTCCCTTTTGAAAAACAAACACTTGGTTCCCTTTTGGAGCTCCATTTGGGTGGAGCCTCGGACACCCTAAACCATCGAGAGTTGTCCCATGCGGACATCCCTAACGCTTCCGAACCAGGGTGCTGGCGCATCAATCGGATGTTGCGGCTTTTTGGTCGTAGGTTTTTCTTGACGTCCAATTCATCTCCGATTTTTGTCCAACAAATATTCAATTCATATCACTGCTTGTTTTGTTTCCAACACAAGATCAAGGGATACATCATTGGACCCTCAAGGAGTCCACACTGACCCTCAAAGAACCACCCTGGCCCTCACATGCCACGCCCTGACGCGTGAAGACCAGTCCGACGGCGGCGTTAAAGCGACGCGAGTCTCCCGTGCCCGATGCTTCGTCCGAGGAGATGGGGAACCAAGAACTTCGTGCTGATGGCAGTGCTGGTTTTCTTTGGACAAGCAGCAAAGATGAGCAGCTGGACTTCGCAGCCGGTTGAAGCGGAGCGGAACCCGTTGTGGTTGCTCCGTTCGTCACGAACGGGGCCTTAAGCGGACCGGCCGTTTAGACGGGCCGCAAAAAATGCCACCGGCCGTGATACAAGCTTTTGGTTTTTGGTTGACGGTATTTATAGTCTATACTTGGCTGGTTGTTTAAACGTGTAACGTTAAAGTATTGTAGCCTAGTGTAGTGAGAAATACACTTGTTGGTCAGTATATATTTAAAAAGAACTGTATGTTTCTATTGGGTAAGTATGTGTCTATAATTGACTCGCTTTTAATTTTCAACCTAATTTCTGGAAAAGTGTGTGCAATTCTTTATTTTAAAGGTAATATTGACCGTATATACTTTATTGTATGGTCTTGGTAGTCGGATATGTTTATTTGTTTATAAATTACTCGTAGTGTATTATCGTCATGTGAGCACTTTGGTTGTCCAGGTTTGTGTTTGCAACGCAGTCCCTTTTGTGCGTCCGGCAACTTCTCGAGCTTGCCCAACACAGTTGAAGCGAGGCTCTGAGATGCTGGAGGAGAAATTGATTATCACACGGAAGGCGCGGTTGGTTGGCATATCCCAGGAGGTTTTCCGAAAAATAAGATACAGCTAACCAATAAACTGGAAGTTTGGAATAAAAAGACTGCACACAACAATGAAGCGCGGGAGACCCCGAGGAACTCTTGACCATTGGGTCTCTTTCTTTAGGTCTTTTGAACCAACATCAAGGCCTGCCAACAACAAAAAATATTTAATGAACAACAATTCCAAACCCAAATAGTATATATATATATATATACATACTGATCCCAATACCTTGGTTCATGGCAATAGCTCAAGTGATTGATCCAAGACGGGCCAAGTACAGACAATTCTCTCTCTGGCCACCCCTCGGTGGGGTAAAATGTGTTTTGACCAGGATACAATGGTTGCTTTGCAAAGGGGATTATTTTTCTAGTCTTTGACGCCTAGGGTCCAGTATTTAAATGTACTCGTATTGAACTTTAGTTTGTTCAATCCGGATGCCATATCATTCTACCTGGACCCTCCAAGGGGTGTCCAATGGACTACCCCACACTACCTATAGGCTTCCATTGGGCACCCCTTGGAGGGTCCTCGTACTCGAAGTTACTTTTGTCAGTGAATGAACTGACAGACGGACTGCACATCCTTTGCACATCCTTTACAGCCGGAATTTGGACCTTGAAGCGCTGTGAACGCCAGGGTAGGACCCTGGCGCTCATGTTTACGACCAGAAGAACAACACGGACCCGTTGGCGCTTTTTCCTTCTGTGACCTTAGGGGCGCCTTTCCAAACATGGCAGTGCAAATTGATGTGGGTTTTAGTTGCTTGATGAACCAAGACAATCTTTTCTCGTATTATAGCTAGAATTCAATTGAACATGGCGATGATATTGTGTTTTGATGCAGTGTTTTTAGGTCTGCTCTTAACTTGCAGGGATTCTTTACTTCAAGTTACTTCATGTCATGTAAACTCGATCGATTCGGAGTAGCACCGAGTGGTAATTATCCCGCATAATTTTGACCCAGTGTGCCCCAATTTTGCGAGACACGCTTTTCTTCAGGCGACAAAAAAGGGGCTGAATTTGGAGACGATGGCGGAGCTGGAAAACATCATCTTGTGCCCCGTAGAGATGAAAAATGATGGCATCTCCATCCACGAATTTGGTGGCACCTCAGCCTTAGACTAGTCGATGGATGTTAGACAGGATGCGGTCTGGAACCATGGCTTCAGTGGCTTTTCTATGCCGTATAGACCGGTTCCAGTGAACCAGTCGTGCAGAGTACACACGGAACCGTGTGAAAAATCCAACACATTTATGATAGAGTGCTGGATGTGTTCCATATCTACCAGGGGCCCTCAAAACCATGAAACACATGGGTTTTCCCTAGCAAAAAACATGGTTTTTGTATATTATGAAAACCTTTGTGTTTTTCTGGGTTTTGAGGGCCCCTGGTACAATATATTACAATATCTTAGTTGACAAAGAGTGCCAGGAGAGGCGCATTTGCAAGCTGACTTTGCCAACGCATACCTTGGTGGTGGAGTGCTGAGTGGAGGCCGTGCGGGGGCCAAAATGCCCAAAGCACGTTAGCCTGCAGCCTGTGCCGTAGCCGCCTTTGGCACAGGCGGGACGCAAGAGGAGTGCATGTTTGTGGAGTTTCCCGAGCTGTTGGCCCTCATCTACTTGGTGGAGATGCTCAGCGAACAACAGTTTCGTTTCGTCCCATCTCGTCTCGTCCTCTCCGTGGTGAGACGAGACGGGGAGACGGGTGTGTCCGACTCTCTCCGTGTGAGGGACAGCTGAGAGCGACCCTGGAAGATGATCGCATGGACCCTGAAAACTCCTTGGTATAGTACTTACCAGGGGCCCTCAAAACCATGGAAAACATAGTTTTTCATATACAAAAACCATGTTTCTTGCTAGGGACAACCCAGGTTTTGGATGGGCCATGTGGGGCCCCTGGTAGAGGAACACAATCTTTGGGGCCAATTGACCATATGTGACCCGGGTGACCCGTTTTCGGGAGTGTCTGGGGTGAAACCAAGGCATCACTCACCGCCGCTCACCGCCCATAACCGCGCTCCACCGGCCGCGGCATACACAGCGCCAGGAAGATGGCGCCCCATGAGGCGGTGGAGATCTATGGTGCCAGGAGTCAGCATGAAGCAGCTGAATTGTGGACAGGTGAACCTAAAGGCGTCAGAACCTCGAAAAAGGGAAGATGGATGGATTTCTTCAGTATGCCAGGAGATTCCCAGTGACAAGACCTGACCTGGAGTGCCATGAAGTGATCGAACCAACCAGGGGATAAAGGTCACTGGGAAGATCCAAGCTGCTGTTGTGGTCTAAACATCTTCACCTATAAAGATCCACCTTGAAGCGGCCAGGGGTGGTTCATTTCAGGGATCAATGTATAGTTCAATATGCCATACAGCCGGAGTGTGTTTGGGTTTGGTGATTTCGTTTGGAACTGAATTCTTCTTTCGACGACTGACAACGGCTGCTGCCTTTGGGAATCATGTCCGAACCACCCCTGTTGCTGGTCAGCTGGCAAGACGACCTCCCGTATACCATAAGGATCCGTAAGGTGTATACACATGGCGCCAGTACTTAATTAAGTACGCACCAGAACACTAAACACTCAGGTGTTGCTGGGGGGTTCTACACTAAACCCCCAGGCTCCCTGTCGCCGGTGCTGTCATATGGGGCGTCCCTGTCGCGGGTTTCGACCACCGGGATCCGGGCGGATCCGAGGCGGCGCTTGCCACATGTAGAGAGTGAGAGAGTCATGGCGGTGGGTGGCAAAAATACCGGATAGACCGGATAGACCTGGTATTTTTCATGTCATATACGTACCTTGAGTATACCTGGTATACCTGGTAGACCCACCTGCAGGGTGGACAGAGTGGTTTTTTGTGGGACGATGGAAGAGGGAGACCTCAGTCAGGTGGACCAAGTCAGTCAGTGGACCCATGGCGGCTTGCTCTCCCCGGTTAGACCGAGGCCCGAACCAATTTCCCATGAAAAACCAAAGGTTTTCACATACAAAAACCATGTTCTTTGCTAGGGAAAGCCCAGGTTTTGGAATGGGCCATGTGGGGCCCCTGGCGGTCATAGGGCGCCTTGATTCATCGTCCTTCGATGTTCTTCCTCGTGGGTGCAGAAGCTGAACCACACGATTGTTGGCCGCAGGAGATATGTGGAGCACACAATGAGTACCAGAAGGGCAGATTGGCCAGATCAATATTGCAGACCAGTTGAGATCGGAGATCCTATCTATGCAGTGGCTTGATCAAATAAGGAGCAATGAGTCGAGCAATGACACTGGTGTCGTTTGCTCCACTGTACGATACACCAGACAATGCTCCACTGACACTGGTTAGTTTGGTTTATGCCCAAAGGCTCATTGGACCCTCAGTTCGCTAGGGCTTTGACCCTCACAACTAGGGTGACATGGACTGAACCACCATGTATAGCAGTTGGTTCGGGGCCGGCCGAACGGGTCGCGTCTGGGTGATCACCAAGAATGACTGACACTGGCTTGCTTTCCTTTGCTGATCAGTCAGACACCTGATCAGTCCCCAGACACCCAGGTCCGCACGCGAAAGCGCATCGCACCCAGGGCGGACGTCTCAAATCCCCCAGTGCCCCAGTGGCGGTGAAAACACAGAGCGTTTTGGGGCACGCAGTTCGGTGTTTTGGCTGACCATGGCTGACCCATGACACCCAGTTCCATGGCACCCATTTGGGGCTGAGGCACTGGTTCCCATCAACGAGCAGGTCCAATTGGCATCCCAGGTGCAGCAGGTACCAAAAAAGGAAGGACCAATGTAACAGGTCACTGAGGGTCGCCGGGGGTATCTATATTTATCCATATTGCGCATCGAATCAAACACGGAGTTGTGCAACCGCTTGCCAGAAAGGTTAGACAAACCAAAGCAGATGTCCTCCTTCTCTGACTCTGCTGTTCAATTTTAGTACGCGGTCATAAGTATACTGGACAAGTATATGGTGGACCTACAGTCTGGAGGACAACCAAAATCAAACTGCAGGGATCTTTAGGGTTCAGGGTAGACCATGGGTTTCACATAGTCTATTGCGAATCAACCGACCATGGGCTTTTCATGCACCCGCGCCGCTGCAGCTTGCACCGTAGCTCGCCCAGGTAGCTTTGGATGCAGTCAGCCTCCCGGCGCGGTCGAGATCGGGAATCGAAGTCTTTGTGGGTCGATTGGTTTCTACTAGGGGCCCGAACCAAACATCTCAAGGGACGTCCCATGAAAAACCACGGTTTTCACATATACCAAAACCATGTGTTTTTGCTCGGGAAAGCCCAGGTGTTTGCATGGTTTGTTGTGGGTTTACTGTGAACTCACCCGGACACCCGGTCGACCAGAATAGGCGGAGGACGGAGGTCGGTCAACCTACCAGGGTGACCAGGGTGAGGCGAAATGGGTGCCATGACTTACAGTCATAGACCGGGTGACCTAGCACAGTCATTATATACCTGGCTGCCCTGTTTGGAGGCCTATTTACATAGGGTAGGGTAGTCTGTTGGACACCCAGACAGGATGATCCTGGTAGTTTGTTGGGCTATCTTCAAGATGATTCCAAATCATTGACCCCGCCAACAAACGTTGTTGGCCTGCCACAGAGGATTGGAAGGAGAAAAACCGTTCACCGAAGAGATTCCCAACAAAACTGCCAGCTTGATGGATTTCATCTTCGACTGCTCGGGCCTAGATCGATCTGGTGAACAACTGTTCGAGGCCTCGCAAGGTATCGCCAGCGTAGCGCGCAGAGAGGCAGAGAACAGTATATAAACACATCCCAAGTGTCCACGTGGAAAGACACGTTTTTGCCGTTCGTCACCATTCAGCAATGGGATTTCTGGTTCACCTTTTGGGAAGGCCTTTGCATCACTGATGATGTTCGGACATGCAACGCAAGTATATACATTGACCCTTGAACCGCCCTAATGTAGGCGTGCCACCTGTACCCTCCAACATGCCACATCAGGCCACCACCATATGTTAATTTTTCAGAGACCATTTTGGGCGCCGGCTGCTGTTATTCCAGTCCCATGGAGTGTTTAGGTACTGCCCTTTTCCGCTCCTTGAGTGAAAATCAGCCCTCCAGATCGTCCCTCAGAACCTCTCCACACCAAGCTGTAGGATAGGTAGGACACATCCGTTTCTTCCAGGCGATGGACGCTTCTTCAGCACATCAAGCCCCACCAGACCCCATCAAATTGATATATTGACATACCAGTAAGGGGTCAAAGTCAATGGTTGAGAGTGTATATTCCACAGCATCCTCACTGCCTCACTGCCAGCTTCGACCTCTGGTTTTCTGGGGCCTGGAACCCAACCCTCTACAGAAAGTCGGAGACTCTGAGACTCTGAGACCTGGCAGTGAGAACCGGTTCTCCGTGGGGGTCCGGACCCCAAAGAACCCTGGCAGTCCGGGGAGAGTCCGGGCCTTCCCAAACCCGATGTATTGGTGAACCGGGCCCGGAGTCTAACAGGGATTGGTATTGACCTGTTTTAGAGTCCTTTGGAGTTGGTCCCCTACCACTCTCATGTCAGTTTAACTAACTTGAGGCAGCCGAAAACAGGATGAAAACCATCGTCCTGAAACCTGTGAAGTCGATGAGCAGCCTACAGGATCTCTCTATATGGGCAAAAGGATTGACCCTAAGAATTCTTGGGCTCTCCATGGGGGTCGGGGTCGGACCTTCTCCACCGTTTCACGCGGGGGTCCGGGCCCGGTTCCCAAACCCTATCTGTTGGTGCGGGCCCGGATTCTGCGGGGAATGTCAATTGTCTGAGCCTGAAAATACAATGCGTATAACACAGTCCCCAGTCCACCAACCACCCCGCCAGCCGTGAAACTCGGCAGTCCACCAGCTTCCCAGTGACCCATTGGGCCACGCAGTCGGACGAACTCGCCGGACTCGGTGATCCGTGGCACTCGGTCCACTTGGTGCGCTGAGGTTTTGGTCGTCGCGGTCCACATAAACAGTACTGGAAGGAGTATATTCTGCAAGATCTTCGGCCTCTGGGCTCCCGAAAACAGACGGCAAAACCGGACTTCCAGCCGACTTTGAGACCCCTGCCCCAGTTTTCATCTGAGTTGACCTTCGTTTTCTGGACATATGACGTATATTATGTACCATCATGTACCCAGTTTTTCCTCCAGGTTCGACTCGACCATTGAAAGAATTTTTGGAGCTGGCTTGGTCGTCTAAAATCCTGACCATTCAATCCAGTCCAATATAGGGTCCAGGCACCTCCGTACTTCGGATGGTCTTGGAAGTGAGTACGTACCTCCAGAGAATGGTCGTTGCCTGGGGGGGCCGACAACAGGACCTCCGAGCGATTCGGAGGGTCATGGACCCTAGGGAATATGCTGCGATCTGCTGCGAACGTGGGTGGACCAAGAGTCGGTTTGGATCGACGAGGACTCCGGTCAACCGCCCCGAAGAAGACCGAGGTGGACGGAAGGAAAACCCAGGTGGAGGGGTCTGGGGTGGAACTCCACAGCCAAGTAGGGAAATGCCATTGGGGACTTGAATATATACCGATCAGGTGGGATGGTTTTGAGATGTTTTAGGGGGTCAATACATGCATTGTAGTGGGTGTCTATTCATTTATAATAATCAATATATGAATTAATAATCAATATATGAATAGACATCCACTACCCAACAATGCATGTATTGACCGTCATGATAGGAGTGTCTTACTCAGGTCGGTTCAGAGATTGCACTTCTTTAGCTGCGCCAACAGGACATTGTACCTATAGACCCTGGACCCGAATCCTCTGGAGGGGTCCGGAGTCTCAATGGGACCAGGAAAGGGCTGTCAACTCACGGAGCCTCGGTCCGGTCGGAGCTTCTAGCTTCGGTCCGGCATGTTTTGCTAGGAAGTGCTCCGCTGCCCTTCTAGATCCGCGTGAAAGCACTGACTTGAAGAGGCCAGCTACAGATTGGACGACAGCGGCGTTTTTTTGCGGCAACAGCTTGATTGTTTCTGGTTTCAAGTGATGGGTGCCAGGACCGAAACCAAGTCAGGTGGTGTTTGGACACCCCTTAGCCTCTAAGATCCTCTAAGCCTCTAAGAGGCTATTCATAGACACCTCGAACGGTGTCGGTCCTGGTGTGTGTATGTTCTTTTCAAGGCGAATCCGGGCCCGAACCGGAAGGGTATGGTCCGGACCCTTGTTCAGGGCCCGTTTGGATTAGTGATGTTTTTTTGCCATGGCCATGCTGGTGCCTTTTGGTAGCAGTTCGAAGACCCCTAGTCTCTCCTTGTGTTTCGGTGACCTCAGAAGGACACGAAAGGGTGAAATCAGAGCAGTATAGATGCTTCTCAAGCTTCCATGACCTTTTTGGCCGGCATGTAGCCCGGAAGTTCCGGTTCGTCCCGGTTCGACCAGTGGGTTCGACCTTCGGTCTGACAGGACGTCTGGATCGCGTCTGAAGTCGAGTGTTTGGAGGATTCCGAAGACCCAGAAGTGGACACACCTGTTCAAAAACTCATGTCCTAGGGTCCTAGGGAGGCCGAGGGGCAAGTGGTGGAATTCCGTGTTTTGTGATAGAAAACGTTCATTGTCCTACCATGTGGCGTTCTCTGAAGGAGGTCCCGAGCAAATAGGCAGAATCAGGCCTAAAGCACCTCGGCAATATGGCTGTGCGTCAAAATCTCTTCCACCAAACATATGGGTTCGGCTCACATCCCTTTGTGGAGGAATCTGTTCGTTTTTGGTGGTCAACCAGGCTGCACTGCTTTTGATCCACAGCCATGTGTTTGCTGCTTCTCGGTCCTTTTGGCCGCCCGTTCCGCCCCTTCGCCAGCACGGACTCCGCTCTGAGGTTCGGGTGGTGGAGTTCCGTGGTTCCGGTCCGTTCATGGACCCCGGGTCCGGTCGTTCCATCCCTGTCCTTGCCTGTCCAGGTCCGGGGGAGCTCGACGGTGCCGGCTACGACCGGTTTCGGTGGGGTCATCTCGGGTCACGGCCGACACGTCCGACACGGTGGCACCCAAACACGTCCACCCTGGGAGTCAGAGTACTAGAAACAGACCCTACCCAGACACAACTAATCCCAAACACTCCATGGGACTGCCATCTATTCTGCCGATCAGTTGGGGTGGTTGACTGGGCGTCCATGTAGACATCTATACCAGTCCCATGGAGTTTGGGACTGCCGGACGTCCCGACCTGCTGGACGTCCCGGCCGACCGGGGTGGTGGACTGGGGGTCCGTCCGTCGCGGCAGTCCCCTGAGTCGTGTCGTAGCTCCCAACGGCCCGACCCGGGACGACGGGGCACACCACCGGTCATCGAGTCGGAGATGGGGTGTTCGGAGTTCCCGGGAGAAGATCGTGGACCTGAGTTGACCCTAGGGCTCCTGGCCCACCTCCTGAGGTTCGGTGGTTGGGGTGGGTGCCAGGGGGGGTCTAACCACCTCCTGAGGAGATGGTTGGAGCCCTATAGGGTGAGTCTAGGAACTTCCTTGGCTTCAGTTGGTCCAAATATCGTCGAACTGGACTTAGTCCGGGTCCATGTACTCAGGACCTTCCGTTGGAAGGCCTACATTAACCCCGACTTCAACCACCCCAATGTATGCAAATATGCCAGTCCCACAGAGTGTCTGGGCTACAGCAGGGCTGGATGTTGTTTGTTGTGACCCAAAGCGCTTGCAAGGACTCCTGGCCCTAGTGTTTGGGCCGAATCGGCAACTGGTTTCATGGCGCCGCAGAGTTCTGGGATTTCGTTTGATAAAGACGGCTCCTCGATTCCAAGCACTTATTGGAACCATGGAGTTTGGACTCGGGCCCGAGTCCCCGAACCACGGTTGGTCTACCTTGAAACTTGCTTTACTCAGGATTTTCGACTACAAACACCAGTTCAACCGTTCAATGGCTCTTTTCATGGTCCCTGGTCCGAAGGCAAGGCTCTCCGGACCAATACGACGTGGCCGCAAGCGCTTTGGGCAGGCGGAAGTTCGTCACAGGACTCTGGGGCTGCGGTGCCTTTCGAGGAGATCCGGAGTTGAAGTTCATCATCCAATGGTGGCTTGGCCCAGCCTTCTCGGTTTTCTGGGCGGAGGTGGATGCGATTTTTGATGCACTTTGTTTGAGTTTCTGATTCAGCGAGAAGGTTCAGGGAAAGCATCATGTTATATTATGCATCATACAGGTTTGTTGGCATTCCCCTCAAGAACATTTATATAGAAGACTTCGCAAATCTCAAAGTGCTTGGCCAAGATATGGAAACACGCATTCTTGTCCTGGTCTCCTAAATTTTAATGGGGTGCGCAAGATGTTTGGATCCTTGTTCCCTGACCAAGCAGGGCTGGGAATGGCCAGAAAGCTCCAGCACAGGCACCCAGCTGTTGGGCACAACGTTTTTCTTCGAAAGGGGATGGTCGGCCACCAGGTTTTTAAGTATATACCCAGATAGAAACACCTACTGTATAGGACATGGGCTGGACCCCTAGCACCATCCGAATCGGATGTCCTGTTGTCGGCCCCCCAGGCCCCCCAGGCAACGACCATTCTTTGGAAGTACTTACTCACCTCCGTTTGATCATCCTCAGGAGGTACGTGGACCCCTAATATATGGGAAAGAGAAGATGCCACAAACTTGCATTATCTACTATCAAAGTCTGCGAGCTCCATGTTTCGATGAACATCCTCGCTCATGATCACATGACAACATCATGATCACATCTTCGGCTGTGTAGGGTGTGTTCGGACCAGTCGATGATGATCTTTTTTGGAAAGGCCGACCTTTAAAACATATCAGCATTTATAGGTCGGCATGTTTATAGGTCTTTTTTATATAGTGGATGATCTGTTTTGGAAAGGCATAATATATAAACATCATCCACTGGGCCCTGGTTATGAGATATACCAGGCATGCGGCATGGGGCATGGGGCAAACGGTGAGACCGACCAGCCGATCGGGACGAGAAAGGGCTTCGACCGAAGAGCGTTGAGCTGGTGGTGTACTGCAGTGTAAAGATCCTTGAACAAGGTAGTTAAAGACCATCAAAAAAGAGGTAGTACACTACTACTGTGTAAGACTGTAGGTTCTTTGGTAAAGACCTTTCAAAAATGGTCGTTTGAATCCTAGGGCCTATTGGTTCGTCACCAAGGCAGGACCCAGGTCGTCAGTGACGACTGAACGACCCAGGTCGTCCCTTCCGTACGTGACCGACCGAAACCAGGCCGTTCACGTTGACCGAAGCATCCTTCAGGACACTAAAAGGACGGTCCGTTCACGGAAGATCCACCCATCGGGGCTCCTCACCTCGTAGCTCACCTCGGCCGCCTCCCAGCCCAGTCCCAGCCTCGAAACGAAGGTACGACTGGATCTTTGTAGGGAAAGACTGCTCCTTCTTGGGATCAATTGGTGGTTGGAACCCCAGGTAACCCACCTTTGCTGCATGCTCATGCATGCTCCAGGCATGTGTTTTCGTCCGACCGAGCGCCGCTGCGGCGATCGAATCCGCAGATCGAGGATCAGCTGTTCGATGGAGTCCTCCATCGAGACTATGGCCAGGAGCCCAGAAAGAGGGAGTGGGAATGCATTTGTTGCCTTATAAGCCCTGGTGACTATATCCTTCAGTTCGATCATTTTAAAACTAGGGAAAGACCTGGTTTGGTAGTATTACAGTATGGTTGTTAGTTTAAATAGAGGCTATGGAATCTTAATGTTTGAATTTTGAATCCTAAGATATCCTAAGTATTCCTGGCCCGCCATTGATTTGATGGGTCGAATCCCGGTTCAACGGAGCTGTTTCACTTCGCATTCTCGACTGACGTCAACCCTAAGAATCCGGGCCATGGGAGAACGCGTTTCACATAGGGAAGCGGGTCACCGGGCCCAGACCCCTGCCACCAGGTCAACTGACCTCGGTCGAACGGTCGAACCATGGTCGAACAACCGCCCCCTTTGGATCGAACATGGCGCCACGCCTGACTCGCCCGGGAAACGGACACGACACGTTTTCCTCAGGTGTTCTGCCCTTTCGACCAAAAGGAGCAGTTGCTTGGAGCAGGTTTAGAGAAGTTGCTGCATGTGATGATGGGCAAAGTCTCTGTGAAGCGACTTGGCACCGGCACCGAAAGACTTAGCACCGAAGACAAGCTGTGCCAAGAGCGGAGGGTGGGAAGAAGAAGCAAACCGAAGAATCACCGTGCCAATAAGCTCTTCTCACATGCTGAAATCTAGGACATGGTTCGAATCTAGGGAGGGTGCCCAAACACAGGTTTCTTCCGGAATCCCAAAGAGTATACCTATAAGATCCGATACGAAACCCTGACAAAGCATGTTTCACGCCGTGTGGGCCACTGTTCAGCACCTTTTGGGCCACGTCGATCGCTCCTCGCGTTCTTCTCGCCTCGCTCTGAGGCGAGCTTATGAACTCCTAGCAGCTGGGGCAGCATGAGCCGCTCTCGTTTCAGCGGTCCGCGCTCCGCCTGTTCAGCGTGTTCAGCGGTCCTTCTTTCGGCCCAACACGACACGTATTGACATGGAAGTGAAGTGAAACCGTGTACGCCGTGTACTACCGGAAAATGGGCGGTGTTAGACGTGGAGACCCTCCCGTCCTCCTTCCTCCTTCCTTCTTGCTTCCTTCCTCGCCAATCTTCATCGCCAATCTGCTTCGCCGATCTTGTCTGGCCAGCTCCGGATCGCAGTGTGCACCCCTGGACCTCAACCGCAAGGATCCGATCGCA